CAAAGCTCTCTTAAATTCTCTTCCTGTTTTTTATTTTTTTTTAAATTGCTGTTCAGTTTGGGTTTCTTTTTTACCCTATCTTCTTTTTTTTTTAAATATATTTTATTGATTTTTTACAGAGAGGAAGGGAGAGAGATAGAGAGTTAGAAACATCGATCAGCTGCCTCCTGCACACCCCCCACCGGGGATGTGCCCGCAACCCAGGCACATGCCCTTGACCGGAATCGAACCTGGGACCCTTCAGTCCGCAGGCTGACGCTCCATCCACTGAGCCAAACCGGTTTCGGCTTTACCCTATCTTCTAACTCACTGATTCAGTCCTCACCTTCTTCTAGTCTACTGTTAAAACCTTCCATTGTGTTCTTTAATGGAGCTAGGTCATTCTTTATTTCCTCTTTATTCTTATACATGCTGGTAAATTTCTCATCTAACATCCTTATAACCATTACTCTGAATTCTTTCTCTGAGAAATTGCTTGCCTCCATTTCATTTAGCTTCTTTTTCTGGTGATTCCTCCTTTTCTTTCTTTTGGGGATTGTTTCTATGTCTCCCCATTTTTGCTGTCCCTTTGTATTTGTTTCTATAAAGTGAGTTGCTGTCAACTTTTTGACCTGGGCAACATATTTGATTTCTGAAAAGTTGAAGGCCCTAGTGGTCCAATGGTCCTGGATTCCTTAGCCCAGATGCTGGGTCTGCCTTGAGTCTTATGCCTTTGTTTTCTCTGCTCTGAGTTGTACTCACTTCCCCTAGGGATCTGGTCCCTCAGTTGTCTGCTGCAGATTCTTGGGTTCATTGTGGGGGGCGGGGGGAGTGCACAGTTCCTCTGGTGTGCAACTCCCTATAAGGTCCTAGAGCCCCCTGGAATTCAATTCACTGTGTGGCCCGGCACTCATGACAGGGTGATGTCCTAGGATCCTCCGGCTCATAACGTCAGTGTAGTCCTGGGGGCTGGACGGGGTGGCAGTGGTCCTTTGTAAGTTATAGCTTCAATTTTATACTTGCACTGTGTCTACCCAATGTGTTTGGCCAATTGTTTCAGTTCTTGCTGTTTTTGCTGTATTATTTTCTCTTCATAACAAATCAAAAGCCTCTCATTGGTCCATCTAGTTAAGCATGTAGTTAGTTGGTTACATTTCTAGGTTTCCTGGGTCTCCTTGAGTCCTGCCTTTGTCATCCAGATGTTTAAGCACCTTTATAACCAATACTCTGAATTCCATGACCAGTGCAAATCACAGTGTGGCAGAGGCTGTTCAGAGCCACCAGGGACAGTGAAGGCCACAGGACTCCCAATTGCAAAGAAAACCTGAGGAAGAAGTGGAGTGCCTTATTTGTAATTAATGAGTTCTGTGCTACACTACCCCAAAGTCATGAAAATATTCTATGATTTGTTTTAGAAGGCTTTTATTTTTTTATTCTTGTATTATTTATTAATTATTGTATTATTTTCTATACGAACAACTGTATACCTACTTTTGCCCCACCCTGTACATAAGTCAGCATCAAATTTAGATATTATTCATAAAATAAGTATTTTGTCTTTTAATACCTGACATATTTCAGCTTGTTTAAGCACTGTGCATTTTCTTTTTTTTCTTTCTTTTTTAAAAATCTTTATTGTAGAGAGTATTACAGCTATCCCCTCATTACCCCCTCCACCCAGTTCCTGCCCTGCCCCACCCCAGGCCTTCACTACTCTAATGTCTATGTCCTTAGGTAAGATCTTTGGTTAATCTCTTCCCTCTGAGATTCATCAGTCTGTTCCATGTTTCCATGCCTCTGATTCTATTTTATTCACTAGTTTATTAGATTTCTTGTTTGTTTATTTTCATGCTTAGATTCAATTGTTAATAGGTATGTATTTATTGCCACTATATTGTTCATATTTTAAATCTTTTATTTTTTTCTTCTTCTTAAAGAGTACCTTTCAACATTGCATGTAATACTGTCTTGGTGGTGATGAACTCCTTTAGCTTTTTCTTGTCTGTGAAGCTCTTTATCTCACCCTCAATTCTCAATGAGAGCTTGCTGGGTAGAGTAATCTTGGTTGTAGGTTCTTGCTATTCATCACTTTGAATACTTCTTGCCACTCCCTTCTGGCCTGCAAAGTTTTTATTGAGAAATCAGCTGACAGCCATATGGGCACTCCCTTATAAATAACTAACTGCTTTTCTCTTGCTGCTTATAAGATTCTCTCTTTGTCTTTAACCACTGGCATTTTAATTATAATGTGTCCTGGTGTAGGCCTCTTTATATTCCTCTTGTTTGGGACTCTCTCTGCTTCCTGGACTTGCAAGTCTATTTATTTCACCAGGTAGGGGAAATCTTCTGTCATTATTTCTTCAAATAGGTTTTCAATATCTTGCTCTCTCTCTTCTCCTTCTGGCACCCCCATAATGCGAATGTTGGTACACTTAAAGTTGTCCCAGAGGCTCCTTACACTCTCTTCATATTTTTGGATTCTTTTTTTCTTTTTGCTATTCTTTTTTTTTTTATAAATCTTTATTGTTCAGATTATTACAGATGTTCCTCTTTTTTCCCCCCATAGCTCCCCTCCACCTGGTTCCCCCC